TATACTGTTTTTCATCAATATATTATAGGTCTCAGATATATATACAAAACATGTCTCTGAAGTGTTTGGCTGAAATACCAAACGGATCATCGTAGCATCCCATAATCCCCTCTGTTTCAGCCCTGTTCCAAAATGGCTGATTATGTATCTGTAGCTTTAAATGCTAATGAGCCGCCCGCCCCCTATGGAAGTGATTGGTTTAAAAAAACAAAACAAAAAAACAATGGTGCTCTAGGAGGAGATTCAGGTGATAAGGTGGGCGGGTGTTACCTTGGTTGGTTATTGGTTAATGGTTGATCAACCCAAAAAACATTGTGACATCGCAAAGTTGCCAAAATGCTCATTTTCAGACTGAAAACTGAAACTGAAACTTTCCCAATCTCTTAACAGAGGGGACACATATTTATGTTTAAAAGACCTTTAAGGAGAAACATGCAGCAGTTGAAGGTGATATTACTCATTCCTATCTTCCTTTTTTTGTGGATAATACACCTTCAGAAGGGAAAAAAAATAGTATATCAATTTGAAGTAATCAAATTGAGTTAGATTTTTTTTTTTATATTCTGCGAACTAACACAGCACATATTCAGGGTTCTCAAAAAAAAGTTCTCAAACTCTTAATCTGTAAATTCTCCTACTTTCTTTCCATATTCATGATTTCCTGTACTTCTGAATGTCTGTTGTGGCCGCTGTACATAGCTATCAGGTGCGTCTGTAGCAGAGCAGGATGTGTGTTTAATACACTTCAGACGTTCCGTAATTATAATTGTGCCTCCTACGGGAGATAGAGAAACTTGCAAATAATGTCAGCAGCTGCCTCAGATCTACTGTGACTGGTGGGGGGGGAGTTACTCTGTTTCTTGAAACTGTACACACTGTGTGGTGTTTGACCTGAGCTCAGTCATAGCTGCCTAATTCCATGACGCCGTGTTACTTCTCTCTCATGGTTTGTGAAGGTTTTTCTTTTTTTGTTATGTCATAGACTTCGGTCTTGTTTCTGACTTGCTCATGATACAAAGCATTCAAAAAACCTCTGTCATCTCAACTCATCGATTCCTTATCTAGTAGCTGTGTTTTTTTTATGTACACATGCACAAGAATCTTCAGGAAATAATGCATGTATGTACTTGATTAAATTAAGAGGACAATGAGCTTGCATGAAAGTTGTGCATACATGCTTATGTCACATAATGGCATAATCCAGTTGTTTCCAAGCATTTGGAAGAAATGTTTGACTGTACAAAAATAGTTCCAACAAACTATTAATTGACATCGAAGAAGGGCGCGTGCAGACTTTGGCATGTCGTTTAATTAATTAAAAAAACTGGCTGTGTGTAGGGCTGTAACGATACACTAATCTCACGATACGATACACGATATTGAGCTCACGATACGATATATATCACGATATTCAGCCAACGATACGATTCGATATAATTCGATACACTTGCATCATTTTCTGAAAGANTACAGCGTTGCAAAAACTAAGAAGTCTTATGGAAAACATTTCATGGTTATAACTAAAGAGTCTTTGAAAACACAATGAGATGTTAGGAGTTTTATTGAGTTTTTAAACTTTAACTTTTGGCTATGAGATGCTGATTGAAACCGTTTGGTTACGATCTGCAGTTAACAAGGGCATTTCCGTTTTTTGCCGGATGGGAGGGAGGGCTCTGTCCACAGCTTGCTGCTTGTATTGCTCCCTCGATCTGATAGGGAGCGGAGCCTCGGTTTAGCTTGCGAGGGTGGTACAAGACGGAGTCTCCACTCCGGTCGACGGGATGGTTGGGGATTGGCGATATTCCTCCGGCGTAGAGAAGACCCTCTCCAGGTTGTAATGTTTTGCGCATTTCCTGACGGCTTTCGCACTCCCTGCGAGGACAGACAGGACACCTGGCGGTCTGTGGTATGCGTCAGGAATGGCTTCGTACAGCGCACTGGCTCGGCTGGCTGACGTAACCGCTCTTCATGCAAAGCGAACGGGGGGGAATGGGCAGCGAGCAGAGTGCCAGGCGGAACACGGGGGATTTGAATGGGAGTTAATGTATCGATACCCGCGGCTGAAATATCGATACTTTCTCGGGAAACAAAATATCGATATATATCGCAGGATCGATTAAATTGCACAGCCCTAGCTGTGTGATCAACCCGTTTTTTCTCTTGTCCACAGGTGGATTAAGAATGGCACTTCAAAATGTAGACATTCCATATTATGTGATCAAATGCTGCACAAGCAGAGTGTCATTATATATAGCCTGCTTCATTGTGGATCAGTTATTTTATCATGAATAGGTCATAGAGATGAATACCGGCTGCAGTATTTGAGAACGGGTCCAAGAGTAGCTCTTTTTTCACTCTCAATCGCCTCGGGAGAAGTTTTAACCTTTGTTTTCTTTATGTACTGACCTTCTTTCTGTGATTTTAAGACCATCAGTCGTGTAGGTTCCCTGGTTTTGCTGCTGCAGTACAAAGTCATTTAGCACAACATCTAAAACACACATACCACACACCATATTTGATCCAATCACAGCTGATTATCTTCCCTCTAAATCAGAAGCGTAGAGCAGCCTGATGCTGCTTTGCAACAATCTTATTACTTGAAGTTTTGAATGTCTCACTCCTCAAACTGTGATTATTCCTCTGTACAATCAAACTCATGACAGAAGGCTTTTGAATGCGGTTTCCAGTATTTCCATTGAAATCCTCAGATTGTTATGGTTCACGACATGTATTTAATGTTTTTCTTTTTTTCTCTGTAACTTTTCACTCTCCCTCTTGCATGCATATTTTGTATGATTTGATGAATGTGTTGTCAATACCATGTAATCATTACGGTTGAAGTGCATTTGATTACCTTCCACATGTCTTTATTTATGTTGACTTGTGTCAGAGACATACATTTTTACTTGTGACATGGAAATTGCATAATTTATAAACTACCATTGCAATTTGCTGACTTTGGAATTGTTAATCCTCTAATATTTCTATTTAGATATTTATAAATATGCAGTTTTACAAGTGGATCCTATGCCAAAGACAAATTCCTGAAAAGTATTCTAAGAAATACGAATATAGAAAATGTGAAAGTTGTTCCATGGGTTTTAATAATCTCCTGAAAAGTAGAAGTAGAAGAGGCCGTACAGTTCCAAGCTCATTTTGTCAAAAATGTTCTATGTTTTGATTTCTTTTCAAAGTCCACATGGTTGTAATTGTTTGTGTAAAGTCTCCATAAACTCCATGAACTGTCCGTCTGTTGAGGAGGAGACATGGGGTGTTTCTCGAGGACGCTTGCTTGGTAGCACATGTCTTCCGATTCACTTGCTTCAGAAGCGAGGCAAGAATCCTTCCTAGCCTCGGAAAATGAAGAATTGTGGAACAGGCTAACAGGTGTGCGTCATATGCGAGGCCCCGCCTTAAATGGAGCGCGATTTCCGCCAAAGATTTGGAAATTGGTCCGTGTGCAAAGCATTGTGGGGATTTTAATACCGGAGTCTACACATGTGCAGCTTCAAAATTTCTCAAAACGAAGTACGCCGGCCTCGGTAGAATTCAAAGTATGCTGGACATTGGAACAGTCCTTCGGCGGCACTCGATAACGTAGCATGCTTGAAATAGTGGCTCTGGAGCATCCTTCCTCGACATTGAGAAACACCCATGAACTCCCTTCACTGTTTCTTTCAGTGAGATCAACCAGCAGACATGACAGGGACCATGGGCTTTTCAAGACTTTGTGTCCCTTGTATCAAATCTAATAATAAAACATTATTAAATATCATTTCTGTGTTCCGTAACTGATCTTGAAGATCAGCAAACATTGTCGCGGTCTGTAGTTTGACACTTTTAGTTACAAACAAACTGAATCATAGTATCAGCAGGGGTTTATTTTGTGATCAGTGTTACCAAAAAAAACGACCAAATCAAAGGCAGCTGTGTGCCACTTAGAAACAGGCTTTCCCCCTGCTAGTCTATAGAACATTTAAGCACCGTACCATCTGGTGCTAACCAGCTGTTTCCTGTCCAGTGGTTTTACATGACCATCCACTCATCTCAGTTAGCAGAAACTTAGAAACATGTTGTGTCTTCAGAATGGAACAGTCACTTTTGCTTGGTACATTTATTTTTTTACAGATGCTGGTCATAAGCTTTTACATGTCATACCTCCCATACATAGCTTAACTAATTGCAATACTTTTAAATGTTTAAAGGGGATCAATAGTTTTAACTCTGCTCAGTCACTGTAGTTGGGTAAAAAAAAAAAACATGTCTCAGGAATGATTATGCAACGTGGCTTTCTTTTTGCACATACTGATTCTACGGACAGTTTTTTGTTTTATAAAAGACCACCTAATACATAAAGACACATGAAGTGCAAGAACTCTGACTAAGCGAGCCAAAACTCCTAATAGAGTTCACAGAGCACCTAGATGACCAAACAATGAAATATGTCAGTTTAGATATTATTAATATATAGTATGTTATAGCTGTAAACAGTTGGTAAATATGAAGAGTTTAAACATGATGTAAAGCTGCGACCAAAAAAAAAAAAAAACAGGCACTTTTTATGACATGTCTATAATGCATCATAAAGATACCTATAATGCATTATTAAGAGCCCTTTATCATTACGGTTACTGGCACTCATGAATGTTCATTATGCTTTATAACAACAATAAAACATTTTATAATGACTCATATGGTCAAGTATCATAATACTTTATAATCATCATAATGCAATACACACACGGTTATAATGCATTGTAATCATCAGTTTTTTTTTATTAATTATAATATAATTACAAGGTACATCAAGTGGTCATTGTTGCTTCAAAGTAAAAATTAATTAATTTCTTCCATATAATACATTTCAGTTTTAAGACAAACACAATAAGCACATAAGATAACTTATGATCACATTCTAACGCATTACACGTGAGTATTTAAAAAGAGAAAGGAAGATGTTTGTACCATCGGTGCAGAAAACACTACTTCATTTCAAAGTGTGTCACCGTGGGGTTCACATCTGATCATAAAAACTCTATATAATACAAATTATTAAGTTAATTCTAATTTCCTTTCATATTAAACCATGATATTACACTCTAATAATGTATCAATACTCACATGTATGTTTCCTCATGTTTTCAACTCAAGTGTTGCTTGTAGGAAATGTTTCCTGTTTTATGGTAAGTGTGTGTGTGTGTGTGTGTGTGTGTGTGTGTGTGTGTGTGTGTGTGTGTGTGTGTGTGTGTGTGTGTGTGTGTGTGTGTATTCACTTTCATAAAATCAGCATCAACAAATCCCTTTTTTTAAAACACCCAAAAACTCATTGATTCTGCTGACGAGTATTGTGTGTGTGTGTGTGTGTGTGTGTGTGTGTGTGTGTGTGTGTGTGTGGAATTCTCTTTCATAAAATCAGCATCAACAAATCCCTTTTTTAAAAACTCATTGATTCTGCTGACGAGTATTGTGTGTGTAAATACTGTAATAAATGAGCCAAATGTTGCATTAGACGACATAACTAAATCACATTCTCCAACTGGCTAATGAAAATACTCATGCGTACCGAATGTAGTTCTAAAAAAGGGTATGGTCAGGGACTCTGACATTTCTGAAATATATATTTTTTTTCATGGGATTTGTTGATGATAATAAAAATAGCCTCCTTAAAGTTTAGTACGAGAATAAATCACACTGAAACTGAATTCCCCTCAATGCTGCTAAGAAATGAGATGTTTAACATTAGTCACATGACAACAGAAGTGTAGTGTTTCCATCAGTGACTGTCTGACGTCTCTGTAATCGTCCTCTCTGTGTCTCTGCAGGTGAAGTCTGTCATCAACCTGCTGTTTGCTGCCTACACCGGGGACGTCTCTGCTATGAGGAGGTGAACAGCTCTCACTCTTTACATTTACTCACTTCCCCTTAATCGCCCAGTGGAGTCCATTCCAAACTATTTCTATAGATGTTTTCCTAATGCTCACAAAGAAAGAAAGATGGAGATAATCCTCCCAGAGAGGACATCTTGCCTCTTCTACCTGGAAGAATTACTCAGATATTTGACTTAAAGGGGCCATATTCTGCTCATGTTCAGGTTCATATCAGTCTTTAGTGTCTCTACTGGGACATGTCTCCATGCTTTAATGTTCAAAAAGCTCTTTATTCTTCTCATACTGCCTGTGCTGCAGCTCCTCTTTTCACCCTCTGTCTGAAACCAGAGCCCAGTCTGCTCTGATCGGTTAGCTGGCTGGCTCTGTGGTCAAACGCTTAGAGATGTCCCGCCCCTTAACCTTAGTCACGTACAATGTGTCGGAGCGCTAGCCAATAGAAGCGTGAGTGTTACATAGTGATGTCACTATGGTACAGATGTAAACAAAGGAGTCCAATGGAGACATTTCAGGCAGGGGGGGGGAGAAGAAACTCCCCCTGGAGGGAACACAGGGATCTTAGCCTTTGCAGACCATTTACATGCACAAAAACCTATAACAGACTATAGGAAAGAGAAGACCCCAAAAGTATAATATGGCCTCTTTAAATGTCCTTACAGGGTAAATAATAGAACTTTTGTGTGTAGGTTTGCGCTGTCGTCTGTAGACATGGAGCAGAGAGACTACGACTCGAGGACGGCTCTGCATGTGGCAGCAGCTGAAGGTACGGAGAGTCAACATGTTCACAAACACCGCTGTACAGCGTGCATTAACATCTGACACTGACAAAAGTATGTCAACATATTTTCTTTAATTTTGGTCTGTGGGCAAGTGAGAACAAATGTAAATAATTTTCCCCCTTCGTATATAACTTCAGAACAGGTCTAAGACCTTGAGTGTTTTTTCTAGGATCATTTTCAAATGTGGAAAATATGAAAAAAGATTTAGCAGGTGTCATTATTCAGCATATTTTGTTAGTGTGAGATTAAGCCACAATGACCACACCACTATCAGATACAGGTTATTTTTAATTTCTCCATGCACAAAATAGGTATGGTGTTTTGGAAACATGTGGTAAAATGACTGTCATGTCTTTAAGGTTCTTTGTATAATGCGGGGCAGTGGTGCAGTTCAGCCTCTTGTGGCCAATATTAGTATTACAACAATAATAGTAACAAAAAACAATCCTGACAAAACCAAACACCTTTTTTTTGGTACTTATTCTTACGTGAAAACATAGGAGAGGAAACTGTTCAAATCAGATTCAGGGAACTGATTATCAGAAATCATCAGGCCATGGCATTGTATCCAAATATGAGAAATTTAATTGCTAATGCATACATTTATATTTTATTCTTGGGCAATGCAGTGTCTTGTGGTGTCAGATTTGGTGAAAGGACCTTAGCTATTTCAACACGACAGAAAAGTAATGTTCAGTCATCACGTATACTGTAACACTTGGCTGTCCTCATCATTACTTTCAGAGAGGTTATATAATATATTTATATATTAGTATTTAATATTCTGTCTTCTGCTGTGCTTCAGGACACACAGAGGTGGTGCGCTTCCTCCTGGAGGCCTGCAAGGTGAACCCCGTCTCCAGAGACAGGTGAGTGCTGACCCCCAATCTCTAAGAACCTACCGTTGGATAATCGCTGCAGTGATGAATATGTTTCAGCTGGAACACGTTGTGTAACCCCAGCTGATGTGATGAGTCACTTCTACAACATGTCGGAAGACATGTCCTGTGATCAGGGGAAAGGATGTTCATCAGTTTCAGAAGGGTCAAATGATTGGCCTGCATCAAGCAAAGAAAATAACTAAGGATATTGCTGAAACGACTCAAATCTGGTTAAGAACTGTCCAACGCATTATTAAAACCAAAACAATGAATCCAGATTGACCCTGTTCCAGAGCGATGGGCGCACCAGGGTCAGAAGAGAGGCGGCAAAGTGATGCACCCATCATGCCTTGTGCCTAGGGGTGCTGCAATTAATCAGGTCGAGGTTCAGCTACGTTCCCAAAGAATGAGGTCAGCTGACCACCTGAATATCCTGAACGACCAGGTCTTTCCTTCAATGGAGTGTTTCTTCCCTGATGGCACGGACATATTCCAAGATTACAATGCCAGGATTCAAGAGGCTCACATTGTGTTGAGTGGTTCAGGAAGCAGGAAACATCCTTTACACATGGATCGGCCTCCAGAGTCCAGACCTCAGTCCCATTGTGAGTCTTTGGGATGTTCTGGAGAAAACTTAGCGCAGCGGTGCAACTCTCCCATCGTCTATAAAGATCTTGGTGGAAAATTAATGCAACTCTGGACAGAAATACATTTTGTGACATATAAGCTTATCGAAATGATGCCACGGCAACTGAGTGCCGTACTCAAAGCTGAAGGCGGTCCAACCAAATATTATAGTGTGCAACTTGTTTTTGGACATAGTATGTCGACATTTCAGAAGAAAAGACATAGTATAGTGTTAGAAAAATATCACGCGACACAAGGTTGAGAATCAATGATCAGGTAACTAATTTATTCTTGCAAGAAGGAGCAGAGTTAAATCACATACAAAGGATCTGGGTTAACTCACACACATGAGGTATGTTGCTCAAAGGAGCAGCAAAAAACCTCAGGCTTATATAGTCCAAAACACGGAGATAACAACAAAGTTGTAAATCGAGGTGGCGCTAATATCAGCCGCGAGTGTCGGAAAGTCGGGTCATCTGCAACGTCTTCTGGAAAGAGTCACGTACTTCCTTCACGCCTTGTCTCATAAATATCAACAACCTGAAATGCCCTACCTCCTCCTATCAGAAGAAGAGGCAGCTGCAAGGTCATACACAGTCTCAGTCACACACAGTATCAGTGCATTAAAACAACGCAAAGAGTGGAGAAAACAGTATTTCTCCAACATCTCCCCCCTGTTTATACTACGTAGAACTAACTAACATAGAACTTGGAAAATACAAATGATTATAAAGATTAAAAATTCATATACAAAATTACCCAAACGGCTGAGGTAGGTAGATTGTATATTGTTGATTGTACATGTTTTAATGTAATCTGAATGGATGCCATGGCCTAATTCCTTCTCTGTACATCGTCAGTTTCTATCACTCAGACCCGTTACTGTTTCCCTGCTAACGTCCACTCTTTAAATTCTACTGGGCTCTGTTCATGGAACATCGGACATGATATTTCAGTCGCTGTTCACAAAATGAATCTTTGATTAGGTCGAACATCCAGAAAGAAGTCAAGAAGCCGATTTGTTGACAACACAATCGATATCACGTGCTCGCCGAAGTGTCTTATACTCTATCAAGCAATGGATCAAATCCGCCTTTTGATCCTAGGTCAAGCGAAAGCCGCAACACTGGATTTTGGCACACCTCAAAATACTGCATACGAATTCGATATCCCGTAAAGAATGATCAAAAACCCTTTTTGATATCTTCATATTATTACGCCAAGTACGACGTCGTTCCTAAGAACCTTCTCTATCTTTGTCTTTATTAGCAGAATAGTCCTCTACGGATTTCCCACGGGTCAACTCTCGTATCTTGTTCATCTTTCTAATTTTTTTCACCGGTTTTATTTATGCTGAGGAATTCCCTCCAAGCTCGACATCTCCTTACGGTTTTGACTAACTAACGTAACCTCTTGTTTACATTGTCCTTACCTTTTTTCCTCCTTCTCTCCTAAAGTAATCCCGATACTACACCAATCGACTTCGGTTCCTTATCTTCCTTCCCTGTTCTGCTTCTCTAATCTCTCCTCTGTTTCTCGGAACTCTCCCCCCCCCCCCCCCCCCCCCCCATATTATCGTACTAGCCTCTTTCCGCGTTTTTAGATTGAGTCGTTTTCTTCTTTAGTACTGCTACTCCTAAAACGCACATCTAAATATTAATATAGGATTAGCAGGAGGATAAGCTCTTTGACCTCTTTTGACTGCTAGTACGCACTATAAGTCTGCGGCGGTTGGGAGAGGAAGGCATAGAGGAGAGGACGAACCTGGACGACAACTACGTCCTCATTCTATCTACTTTTGGTACGTGATCGAGTTGTGGGGCACCCCCTAGAGGAGCTAGGGGACCGGAGGACGAGCAGGTTGGGAGACAGGGTGGCTGAGGGCGATGGACCGGTGGGTGAGGCGGGTTTGGTTGGTGGAGGTGTGTGGCTGGGAGTAAGAGGGCGCGTCTCTTGTCGGCCGATACTCCCTTCTTGGTCGTTGTGTGCCAGTCCATTATGTAAGTCTTACCGGGCAATAAGGCAATACTTATGATAAGTCCGCCCTTTACACTGACTATACAAGATTCCCCCCGTTAGAATTTCGGACCTTGCAGCCACTTTACCGTTTGTTTTCTTTTTTTCTTTGTTTCTCGTCTGACGGGCCAAAAATTGCTTCGCGTACTTAGATCTTACTAATCTGAATGATACATACAAGACGAACTTTAACGAAAAGGCTCCACTAGTTTCCTCCCATACCTGCTCGGCCAACGCGCCTTCCTTGCCTGCTCTCACCCGGCTCCCGTGCTCCACACCCGTGGCTCGTCGCACCTCCTGCCCCTCTCCTTTTAAGGGCATTCCCTTTCAACGAAAAACACACCGTTTACACTGTAACACCTCTCGTGACGGGTCCGATCCCGGGCCGGTGTCCTTCCCTTGCGTTCGCTGACCCACCTCGTCCGGCCTACTGATCTCGTTCACGTAGACGGTTTTAGTCCAGTACATAATGTTGTGTGTTGTATCTGGGCTTGTCTACTTTTTCCAATTGCAATATCTTTCAGTTGTTGTCATTTGTCTGATGTTGTTGGTTCTATTTGGGTCTTAGTTCTTTTACGTACTGGATTCTGTTTTACTGAGTCTGGAAGCTGCCGCGACTGTGTCCTCGTTCAAGTCTATTGCACAGATAGTTCGAGTAGGCGTACTCCTGTCACCTCTGAAAATCTTAATCGAGTATGTCTCATCTTAATTAAGACCGGGAGTGCGATCTCTTTAGGTAACAATGTAATTTTCAATTAGCCGCTTATCTAGCATTGGTCAATCGTTTTTGGGAAACAAGTCTCCCCCCCCGTCGGTCTACATTTTTACGCTAATACTGCAGTCCCATGAGCGAGTTGAATGTAGCCCCCTTTTTTATCCTGGTCACCGTAAATGGGAGTGGTCACCTGTGGTATCGAGCTCGGTACGGGTAAACAATGTTCGGGTCATTATCGGGTCGAGGTACGTTCATGTCCGTAACGTGTTATCAGAAAAATCTAGGACTGAGATTTATTGAGTGCGGGTCAAGGCATGATAAACAATGTTTTTTTGTTTGGATAATACAGGGTCGATCTGTAAATCGTACGTACCGGATGCAAAATATGTTGGTTTAGATGATAGCTACCTCGTACATGATGAAAATTTAGGTCGATGTGTGACGGTCATCTCTATCTACCCTTGGTGTACTGACATAGCGGGTCTTTGACTCTTGTCTCGACGAAGGTTCCTGTCTGGACTGCTGTAAGGGAAGTGGTCTACGGTCTGTATTGCTACATACAACTGCGCAAGTACATATATCTTAGACTACGTCTTTATTACGTTGTCCGGACCATACAGACATCACTGTGTCTGCGTTGACGAGTTCCGCGTCGTACCGGCGGACGTGTGAATAGTCGTGTCCGTCGTCTTGATTTAGCGTTATTGTCTCGTACGTTTGACCCGCCTTTCCCTTCTGTCAATTGTCAAATTGGTCTGTCGTTGATACGACTATAAGTACAATGTACAGCAAACGTGTTTGTTACCTTTTTTAATCTCCCCTACCATTGTAGTGTTTTGTTGGATAATGTGTATTTCTAAACTAGGATAGTGAAACCTACGTCATAGTTGAGGAATTCTTCTCACCGACCAGACATTCACACGTCGTGTGTGATGTCCTGCTGGGTTAAAGGCTGTCCCTTCGCGCTTTCCCGTTTACCTTTCCGATTCTTTCGTCGCGTTTCTGTACCTGTCCTGTCTACTGGGTTAATATAAACTTTTATACCTCTGTGTAACTAGCTACTGTAGGATTTTCATGTACGTTCGGTTACGTGGACTGTTTCTTTTCATATGACCTTCTTCTTCAACACATGGTGTCTTATTTCTCCCAAACCCTTCTCATGTCTTCCGTTTAAACATATGGGTTTACTATCCCCTCGTACCCAACCTGGTGCGGTGTGTCACTTACCCACCTGCATTATGTCTTCTATAAGTTGCGGATACCGAATGTTATGATGAGTTTTTTTTTTTTTTACACAAGCGTAAGACACACACGTGACATCATATTGCGGAGTCCCTGGTCAAGTCTGGTTTCTCTCCATTTCTTATGGACTCGGGGTCATAGCGGCAAAGTCACGTGTAAACGTACCTGAAATAACTGATTTATTTACACTCCCTTAATTTATAACAGATTGCTTAGTATACTGTACATGGTTTTACCTAACTTCAAAAAGGGGTTGATCCTTAGGTCTACGCTAACTGTCACCGATTTCGTACTGTTTAGTGTATTAGGGTGCAAACCTTGAGGCTTTTTAGATAAATATGCTATTACTCGTGTATGAAACACTTATTTTAATTAAAGTCCTAAACTCCGCATAAACCTATGGTCAATTTCTGCTGTAACAAGAATAGTAGGTGTCAGTGCGACTCGGCCCCAACTATCTTTCTTTATTACCATGTCATTTTCGATTTGGATTTCTTCTACTACCGTCTCTGTCCCTTTTGGGTACCTACTCTCGATCACGATCTCCCGACGGCTGGAAAACCCTTTCACCTATTCCTTCTGGATAATAGACGACTCAATTTTGGTAAACATTCTCTCCTGCTCCCATTACTCACTTTTGTGTCGTCTTATATTACGTTTTTACAACTCTTCTTTTCTAGTGTTACAAATAACAGGGAGACGTGATCCTTCCATGGACTGAGGTGTGTCTGTCACTTTGGCCTCTCACCACAAGTGGTCTCGCTATTTCCTCTTCTCGACCGTGAGCGGGTTCACCCATCCCAGCGATGGTTCGTGAGGACAGCATGTGGGCTGACGGGTCAATCTCAACGCCTTTCTGGTAAGGACCTATGTGAGACTGGACTTCGACAAATTGGCATGGATTTCTGTCTTTGCAGCGGGAGGTGACACCACTTAGACCTGATGTTTCCTCCCACTAGGCATACTCTATATCAAACGTGAACAGGGTTTGGTC